ACTCACTAGGTGGTGATGATCCTAACAATAATTTTTCATTAAGGAATTCATAAATACATTCCTTCATTAAGTTCATGGCGCAACAAGTTTTCTATAGATGTGCTGCCTCATTAGCAAGACTCAAATGGTATGAACTAGGGTTGTCGACTGATAGTAACACAACTGTCAGAAGTCGTGATCCATCGTCTTTCTTTTAATAGACTATATAAAGCACTCATGTTCAGGTTCTCAAAGGTCGGATAAGTTTGCCGCACATAAATTTGGAATGCGTGGAGTATAGACAAAGTGCAGCAGAGCGCAGCCAAACTCCACCCATGGGGCGTGGTAAGCGCTGGAATGATCTGTAGCGAGGGCGAATATTTCTCATTTGGTTTAATATACCCAACACCGAGAAAAGAAAAAATGAGCCGAGGTGAGGGGCGGGTCAGCGAACCAGACGAAGGATACTCATCTTCTCTGGGTGAGGCGTCCTCAAAGAGGCCGGTACTTTCTATACAAAACTTGGCTCCAACAAAGCGTGAAGGACAGAAAAGAATTTGATGGGTCTATAGTGGTCTATAGTGTGCTAGGCATGCGTAGGCTTACCTAAAGTTGCCACTGGTCGAGGCGTGTCACAAATGGGAGGTCTTTTTACAAAGACCCCTAATTCTGCTCAAAATGGTTCAGTATGTGGAAAAGCGGACAAAGGCTAGTGAAGGAATGTTAATCCGACTTTCACAGTGGGCGGAGCATGCGTTTAGGTGGGCGGGGCTGAGACCAAGAAATCATAACTTCGTTCAAACTATTCAGATATCCCAAAAAAGTGTTAGCAGGGTTACAGACGGCAGTCTAGGAACATTAATGGTAGGCAGTAAGTTTTCGCCCTTGGTGCGTTCCATGCACGGAGTGTTCGAACGGGAATTCATAACTTCTCTTCCCTTGGACTCAGTGTATTTTTATTTGAAAGGTGCAGGCGGCAGGTGGGACACTGATGGTAGGTGGCGGGGACGAACCCAACCCTTGGGATGAGGGCTGTGGATGAAATGACTTTAGCAAAAATACATAGAAGAGTTGTGATAGGTGGAGAATGAGCTAAGTCGCTGGAACAACTGAATGGCCACACCTATGTCTAACCCTCCCCATCAGTGGCTTATAGTATAGTAGTATAGTAAGTATTGAGTAACAGTTGCCAGTAGGAGTCCTCCCCTATCTTATAATTCAGTGCGTTACCCCTTACTGACTCCATTTCGATTTTTTCGCATATTAAAGCTATTTGTTCAGATTCTACTTTGAGAGATGGTCCTGTTCCTTATCCTTCATCTGTGTGGAATAACACCAAGGGTGACCTTTAAGCCGACACCTAATCAAATGCACCTGTTTTCATTACAAGTAAAAATAGCTGATCTGAGCCAGTGAAAGGGGCTGATTTCAGTGAGGCTATTGTCGCTGACCTATCTGCCTATCCCGTGAGGGAAATATAGAGATGATTCTGAAGTCTGAGCCACTTGGCATCATATTTTCTTAGTGATGTATTCAGAGAGTAACGCATAACATTCATTCTAAACAATCTGGGGCGATCTATATGAGCGGGATTGACCACCCTCATTTAAAGGCACCGTTCACGATAAAAAAGGTTATTGAGTTCTTACCTTGTTAATATTCAGTGGCTTCCATGGGTTGTAGAAGGAACCCTCTCATCCCCCAATTTCGATGTCCAGGGCATAGTGGCCACCCTGTTGTTGCCGTAGTTCACGTCTCCGCCCCTTGACCGATGTCACGTCAGACGAGATGTAGAGACGACACAGTGCCATGTAATCGCGAAAGGCGAAAACAGCTGTTTGGGTGTGATGTTTGCAGTTGAAGAATTGGTCGCCTTCGTGCACTCGCCCGAACAATCCCTTGACCGCCGCTCTTTCAATGTGAAACTCGTCCAACCCCCCTTTCCAGCTCTTTTTTGACCCTTTGTCATTCTTTTTGTTCATCGTTTTTCGCGCTTTTTTTGTTGTTATCGCTTTATTCTAGAGTAGTTCTATCAATTTCCGTCAAAAAAGGCTACACTAAATTTATCGTAAACGGTGCCTTTAACTCTGCGGTCTTGAAAGGACTTTGCATTGATCTGTCTACTGCTACTAAAATTTCACGACTCATCTCCAAAAATCGTTGTTTGAGACAGGTTGCTGTTTTTATCTTTACGTTCGATACACAATGAACTGAAAGCTGAAGATGCTGTAGTGATGATAGTAGATAAACCTAATTTGTTGAATTCCGGAGAAGTATTATCGGAGAAGAGCAATAATCTTGGCTTTTGAAACAATCGCAACATCTCCGAACATGCTCAGGTCAGGAGCGCGTAGTTCTTGTGCGTCCTTCCAACTAGTTCCTTTTCAATTACAGCACTAGAAGGAAAACTCACCCTCCTGTCTGCCTCACCACCTTCATGAGTTTAGGAAAACCAGCTTCCAGCCATCGAGACGATTGAATCAAGTAGAAAACGTTGAAGCGCCTCGAAATCACTCCTCCTTCTCCTCCCTCCCTCTTTTGCTTCCTATCCATTGAAGGCCATTGAGCGCATAAGGATCAAGTCACAGACCGTATTCAACAGAGTCCCACCAAATCCTGTTTGATACTTTGCTTTTTCGTGTTCTAAAGATACGCTGTCAGCTCAAAGGCTTTTGTGGCTTCTAATTGCGGACTTCATCGACTGCTACTTTCTCCTTTGAATCGAGAGCGAAATTCTGATTCCGCCGTCACAGCAGAACTGTTGCCTGCTTCTTCACCTTCAGACGACGTCATCGTCGAGTTGACTCCGCCCATTAGCACTCAGCCCGCAGAATTGATTGTGGTTGAAGCCGAGCTGCAGCGCAACGAAGCATAATTGGTGGAGATGTCACCGCCCCTCCCGTTGGCAGAAGGAATCGACCGGAGGCTGAGCTGAGTCGCCGCTGCAACGCGATCGATTCCCTGAAGAGGCATGGAAGCGGCGTTGAACGGCCTCGCCAACACGGTCAAGCACCAGCCCGCTAAGGATGCCATTGCACAGGCCAAAGGTACGATACCAGACGTTATGGTAATTATCCATTAAAATGAAGAAGGATGTGGAGGGGCAAGCTGGTTCGTGTATTTCAGAAGCAGTGAATAGCCTCTCATCTTCGGACGAGTCTGTTTCGATTCCATATGTCAGAGAGAAATGTCTTGCAGCGTTTGAGTTAGTTTTTGACAAAGGAAATGACAAAGCTGCTCATTATGCCGTTGAAGGAGTTCAGGTATCTGCAAATATACACTATTCAATGCTCGAATAGCTGGAACATACCGGATTTTTGGCTGTCTACATAATTTTTTTACGAAATTATTGATTCTACGAGAGATCGCTACCTACTGCTGTATTGACCTGGGATCTGGCAATCTTTCCAATGTCACTGAATTCCTGGGAACGTACGATTCAGCAAATCTTTTACAGTATTTTCGTTTTCTCAAACTTCCTCTTTGGTCAATAAGTTTAAATGTCTGATCTTACTACATTACACGTCTTTCATCGCTCATATATCACCTGAGCGTTTTATTGCGTCTTTTAGGCTTTCCTGTATTTCCGTGACCATTGCTTGATGGATTCTAAAGCCAGAAGCTGATTGTGAAAACCCTTGGTTCACTGTCTTGTTGACGCTTCTTTTGCTAAGCCTCCAGTTGAGATGAATGTGTCGGGTTTCATCTCTTACTTGTCTTAATAGCAGTAGCTCCTGCCTCAAGTTCAAACTTCTGGGGAACAAAGGAATTCGTATCTCCATTTAATAGTCTTTGTGTATACAAATCTTACTATCCAGATGATTTGACATGAGATGCTTCGTTGTGGAAATCACTGATGTTCATGGTTGAACCCAGTTGCCAGGAAACCTGGCACCAGACCCAATACGTCTGATGCCAGGTTTCTGGGCGCCCTTTGCACAATCCTTGTCTGTTCAGATATAGTGCCAAGAATTCGAACGTACCCCACTCGGAACATTTTTCAAGTTCTCTATATCTCTTTTCCAAGCTATAGAAGGCTTTACTGAGGCAGAAATTACCTATTGATTAGGTCAAACGAGTAAACGACTCTCGTTGAAATGTCAAAGCAACTGATTCCTATGTGCTCGAAAGATAGCAGCAGTTAGTCTTCATTGTTAGAGGTCTGGAGACGAAGGGAGACGAGCAGTAGGGTCGGTTTTGCGTAATCGATTCGCCGCACGCGACTGTCGCGAACCATTCGCTTCGCCGTTATAACAGTTCTAGCGTTTTTCGTACAGCTCAATCGATATGGGATCATTACTTTAGGCATGATTCTACTATTAGTTTTTTTGTTCCTGTATTTCTTACCCACTGCTGCATTCTACTAGATTCCTTCGCGCGAGGCGTTTCTCTCGCCGCGACGCGACAATTACGATCCTACTGCACCACACCCGGACGCGAATGAACTGTCTGTTGATCTTTCCTATCATCCTACACATTTGATTGAAATAATCAAAGAGTGGACTTAAAAGAATTAAAACTTTTCTCTTTCCAATGGCTCTGAAGAATTTGCTTGATAACTTTCATCTATTCAGGCTCTTTTGCGTGACCGTCGTTTCCATTCCACATCAATAGAGAATGCAAACCATAATTTACCGACCCAGGTCTGTAAGTGCACTTCGTTCGTGGATATCGCCCACATTGATTCTCCAGTATTTCAGGTTCTAAGTGCTTTGACTGGAGTCGCACAATGGAACAGTCAATTACAATGCAACTGCTTGACGGTAAGCTCCTATGTGGTTTATGGTAGTCATCAAATAGTGAGGGTCATTCCTTGATGTTCTTTTATTAGACCACAGCCTAAGGGAGGCCAAAGTGGGGATTAATGGTGGAAGCATTGAAATGTGCCTTCTTCTGTCCAGAAAGGGTCCTCTCATGATAGCCGGCGTCATCTTTCAGATGCTAGTGGAGATGGTATGTTCTGTGGAACTCCGAGTGTCCTTACAGGAGGTGGAAGAGTGCTTGGAGGTAAGTGGGTCATTTCTAGGTCTGGTTGTCCTGTTGTCCTTTCGAGAGTTACCCGTTCAGCTCTGCATGAGGGTTTATGGATCTACACGTGAAGAAGCAGTACGAGTTTCTGCACGCGCAGCCGTTTCCCAATCGATAACTACCTATTGTTCCAATCGATATGCAGCAGGGGTACGATATAGCTAGCTCTAACTATTCCATCTGGAATAACGTATGATTCAGGAAGAGTCGCAGAATTTCCTTTCGGTATACCTGGATGTAACGAAGCTGCTCGAGAGCTACATTGCTAAACTGGACCAATTGACCGTATCCTCAGACCAGAGCGTTGTTCTTTTCGACGCAATGAATGCCCTTCTGGCTGCACAACCTTTGAGTGTCCAGAAGCACACACCACTGGTCAACCTTCTCTGGTAAGCAGCATTCCATATTCCTTCTGTAGGTCGTCTGCAGCCACGAAAATTGACTTCCTTTTTATTTTTTTTCGGTCTTTTGGTTCATTTGGATGTTTTTTTTTTCATTAAAGTGAAAGAATCTCATAATTTCTGGGCAAACAAATTCCTTTTTGTTGCTAGTTAGAGCGACGGGTCTTTAGTTCAGGTGACGGAAATAGTGCTCGATTCCCCTCTGTTGAGCTTATGCAAGTGGCAGTTCTTTGATAGTAGTGCCACGGCTTCAAACTGCAATTACTGTCATCATAAATTAAAAATCAAATTAAGTTAAATTAAAAATAAATTAAATTAAATTAAAAATTAAATTAAAATTAAATTGAGTTAAATTAAAAATTAAAAATTAACACTGCGCGGTAACCATTCAAATCTGACATATATATTGCGCGCTCTAATCACTCATTGGTTTCGTCGTGCAACAGGCGATGGATGCATGGTCTGCCGCACTCCGGTCGGGCGTAAACTCGGAGAACGTCCTTTCCGCGCGTATGTCTAAACTAGGTCACTCCGCCCACTTCGCGCGCTGCGCAGTGCACTCTGATTTGCATTGGTCCGTGTTATCTTCTCTTATGCTTACCACCGAGGACCGGCTTCAATCGTATGCTCCACTGACAACTGCGACGTTTGACAAAACGCGGGCTGAGTCGCCGCTGCGACGACTGCGGCACGACATGGTTCCGACGGACGCGCGGAACGAAACGCACCCGCGCGATCTCATGCTCTCTCTTTTCGCCATGCCGCCGAATCTAGCCAAAGGCTTGCGGCACCAGCACCGGTTATTGTGCTAGTACCCACATAACCAGCGATTCGTCGTCGAAGAGGCGACAGGAGCAGCGGCATATGTGGCCCTATATCCTAGAAGCACAATTTTCTTTTGCTATTCTGACCCCTCTATGGAACTTATGCATGAAATGTTTAGCTTCTTTTAATAGCTTTTTTTGTGATGGGTAACCCTTTCCCATGAGCCATACTTATCATTCAATTGGGTGGAGCAGGTCCTCTAAATGACTCCGGTTTCGTATCGGTTCATCTTCAACAGCTACAAAAAAGTGCTCCGCTTAGGGTTCTGTATCGATCGTTCAGTGGCAGCAGTTTATTGAGCGAAGAGCATGCTACAATATTTCCGAGCTCTTATATACGTAAATAGACATTACAGATGTTACAGATGTGTTCACAGATGGTCAACTAAGAACAGCACATGCGACGGGATAAGAACTAGAGGAATGTTACCGAATGAGTGTATGATGATACAATAAGCAGACGATAAGAGATGGGGAATAGAGGAGTCGTGGTTGACCACGACACTTCGCCCGCGGGAAAGGCATGGACTAACTACACAATTAAACATACAACCAAACAATAGAGAGCAATGAATATTAGACATATCTTCCAGTCGGCTTCGGCGCACTGCTTAGGGCTCGATCGAAGGTGCCATTGAAACCACCAATCACCGCGACTCCACCGGCACTGCTAGCCATTCCATTCCACAGGGGAAGTGAATAAGGTGGCGTGCAATAAGAATCGGTGACGCTCAGAATAAAAGTCGACGAAAGCGGCACTGTGGCAGAAATGCATATGTCGATCGAGGCGTGAAGGTCGAATGTCAGCAGAAGAATATCAGCCGGGGGAAGTGATGACGACGGACGAGTGCAGTGGGTGGAATAAGGAGTAGAATAGGATCGATCAGGAAGAGTAGCAGCCAAAGATGATCATAAGCGTGTTATGATGCGCTCTGCCCGCATAGGAGGACGTTGTGTCCGCCACGTCAAGAAGCGCAAGTGACATGGCAACTTCCACCGGTGACAGGACCCAAGCACTTCCGCATCGGTGGTTCAGTGGTAGAATGCTCGCCTGCCACGCGGGCGGCCCGGGTTCGATTCCCGGCCGATGCACCAAAATTGTGTCGATCGTTCAGTGGCAGCAGTTTATTGAGCGANACATTGCAGGTGTTACAGATGTGTTCACAGATGGTCAACTAAGAACAGCACATGTGACGGGATAAGAACTAGAGAAATGTTACCGAATGAGCGTATGATGATACAATAAGCGGACGATAAGAGATGGGGAATAGAGAAGTCGTGGTTGACCTCGACAGGCTCCCGGTCTGCGGTTTCCAAAAAATAGCCCTTTTTGATATAAAAGAATCTTTGGTAACAAAAATCACAAGTAAAAAAATGCATTTGTGTACATTTACGTATTTTCTGAGTGAATTCTGATCAGCATAGTTCATTCGAAAAATCTTCCATACCTTCAGGGAGAAACTTTGCCCTCTGATGATTCGCTTGTTGGGTGTTCCCAACAAGAACGTGCCCGACAACCCGTCTATCAGTACAGAAGAGCCTCTAGGTCAAGGACAAATGGCAAAGTTCACCCTCAGTCCGGCTGTGGTGGCTAATCCTGAGGCGACTCGCGTTCTCTACCAGTAAGTTCTTACCCATGCAATGGAAGACGTTCTCGTAAACAGACATTTTTAGGATTCTGGAGCAGTTGATCCGGATAATGGCTGGCATACCATCAGTGAACTCAGTGCTTGAAGCTCTTTTTCATAAGGCGTTTCTATTTCCAAAAATCGAGCAGCGAGCTGAAGCTGTCAGGATCATCAAAAAGGTTTATTTTGCTCTCATGAACCTTCAGTGCAAAAGAAATGCACATCCATCAGTGGATATAATCAAAACAAATTCAAAAATACTCAGCTCATAAAAAAGGCTCCCTCCCTGGAATCAAATAATTAGATCTTTCTAGACTTTTATATTAGCTGATCTCTGAAAAATCGTGAATGTTTCCTACACCTGTCAAGAATAGCTCTTCCGGTTCAGCTGTTTTTTTTCAGATTCTGTCAGATCACTATCGTCTGAACGACATCATCTCGTCGTGTGTCCGATCTCGTTCGCTCTCACTCTGGCGGATGCTTATCGTTTGCGTGGCTGAATGCGCTCAACCTCAGTTTGAAATCGCAATCGAAGCTGTTAGAGCTTGTGGATCCATGGTGAGCTTTCCTTTGAAACGCTCTCCACTCAATGAGGATCCGATCAGAGCAAAAATACATTAGAAAGTATAAAAAACAAAGTTGCAAATAGCAATTCGTTGAACCAAATTTGCATTAAACAGTTTCCTGTATAGGTGCAAATTTTAGGAACTATCCCCTGGGGTTGAAAAACGAAAACGTCGTCGGATTCAGGAGTAGCATGGGGGGAAACCTATAATGGCTTTGCTGGGAATATGGCTAGAGTATCAATAAAATCGACAGCTACCGTGACCTTCCACAGTTCATCTTACTCCATAGCTGGCGCTTTTGAACAGAGTACGGCTTCCATCCTAGACCGACCTCCGTTTTTGTGGTCTATCTAATTCACTGACTATGGGTCAGCTTTTTGCGCAACTCAAGATAGTACTAATTTCAAAGGTCATTTCTATCTCAAAGATTTTATGGCCATCGAGAAGGGTCCAGGGTATTTTTCGGGTCAGAATTGGCTCAGATTAAGCCCAAAAAGAAGTTACCCATCGCTCCCGCTGGATGCTCTCGAAAAAGAACGTGTTTAGCGGCATTATAGAGGCTGCGGCCATTCAAAACGGAGCGCGTTTTTGCTAACTATAACCAGCTGGTGAATACCAATAACTATTACACATTGATCTGCAGCGACCAAAAACTCGTCCGATTTCGCCTTCACCTTGTCCAGTCATATACTTTACCTATAAAAAGGATAATAGGATGAAGTTTTTGGCGTTAATCAATCCCGTCTGAGGGATGCGCCCCCGCACTCGACTTCCATTCAGAATCGTAGTGGCGTGACGAGTGCATATGTGGCCCATACAATGACTTGCGGTAGCCAGCCGGTGTTCAAGTCAGTGCTTTTATCCTCCCAGACGAGTCTGCTACTAATTCACCGACCCCGGAGGGATGAAAGGCTTGGTTGGCCTAAACGGGCATCGATCCGGGATTCGAACCCCTGTCCGTGCGTATGATATAGTGCACCACTTGCCACTACACTACCTACGCCCACATTAACTATAATATAATGCCTCAAAGAAGGTTTTATTCAGCCGAATTTCTGGAAATTTTCTCGTTTTCTTAGCTGCTGATAAACTGTTTTACATTAGTATTCCTACCCTTAATCCATTGAGGATACATGAAATCTCTGGAGCCAGCGTTCGACCTGTTCTCATTCCTGTTCACAACTGACCCACTTCAGGGGAAGAGACTGTTCTTTATGCATTGTACATTGCATGCATTCGATACCTTTATTTTTGAATTGGGCCTAGTTTCTATCGCAGTGATCTTCACAAACAGTCCGTTTGCTCTTTCTTTGATTATCAGGCACTGTAGCGCATACTTTCGTTGGGAATTTGAATGAGGAAATATCTCCAGAGTGGGAGCTCTCCTATCGTACAGCATGTGTATCACCCTTCTTTCAGTTGCAAGGGATTCTAACCTACTGCGAAACACCAAATCTTCTCGATGAAGAGACAAGGTGCAAGCTGAGGGAAATGTTCCCCTCGTTGGCTGATGTGAATCCACCGAGTTCGTTTTTCTTACCCTCACCTCAAAGTTTGTAGTTCAGATGTTACTTAATAATTAACCCTTTAGGTTTTACTTCCCGTTCTGATGTCGGGCACTGCAGCCCGCTTCCACAGAGTGGCACTCCACAAAAGCAAAGTGAAGTGGCAACGGCAGACGATGAAACCGACGTCAGTGACGATTAAGCCTGAACCTTATTGCTGTGGAACCTTTCGAACCTCATCTATGTTCAGGAAATAAATGAAACCTTGAAAAAACTGTCGAAAAAGTTCGGTCTACAACGATCACTCGATGACGAGGTGGCTCCGATGCCAATCGTGCGGCGGCGAACGACAGAGTATGACGAGACGGTAAGGACTCTCTCTACTCGGGTACCATACTTATTGACTTTGAAAAGAAAAACAGTTTGCGAGAGCAATTTGTATAGAATTCAGTGCTGAGCATTACCATTTGGATAAAGCATACGCCGTGGTTCACACCATTGAAAAGACGTCTGCATAAGAAGGGTCGGCACTAGCGGAGACCTCCGAGCTCCTATGGCATTCAATCTCCCTTTTCTTAACTTGGCCCACCAATATCGGCTTAGAAACCATGCAAAAAGGTGAAAGTCATGCAGACCATTCACATTTACCTACATTTTCATGTATCACCAAAGAAAGCCATGGCAATCGTCGTGTGCAAACCATTGAAATGAAGTGAGGCTCTCTAAATGAATTCATTCCATGGAGAACAGAATTTTTACCTTGGGGCCAGTAAAACAGGCAACATACAGATTAACTTTTCTTGAAAATTTTCAAAAATTCAAGCATTTCCAGAGTCTTTGGGCGTTAATTAATCTCGTTTCGGGGATACGCCCCGCATTCGACTTCCATTCAAAATCGTTGTGAAGTAATGAATGCGTATGTGACCTATACAATGACTTACGGCGACTAGCCATGTAAAGTCAGTGCTTTCATCCTCCCAGACGAATCTGGTACAAACAACCGATTCTGGAGCGATGGAAGGCCTAATCAGATTTCAGTCCAGGATTCGAACTCGTGGCCATTCCTGTGTGATAGTCATTTTCCACCACTCCACCCGCCTTCAAAAATTTATTCGTATCTAATTATTACTTTAATACTCTTGATACAATGCTTTCAATAGTATGAGCTTTATGTAAATTTGTTTCAGACAGAAAAAATCACCGCACAGAAATTCGTTGACGCTCTAGTGGATAACATCGCTGGCTGGAACAAGTTCAAATCGACGCTCGAACTGGACGAGGCTATTCTGAACTTCTCTTCGGGATTCTATAATGGTTAGAAAGCTACGGAAAGCTGATTTTGAATTTGTATTACAGTTTAGGAGAAATAATTCTTGAAGGGTCGTTTAGAGTTCTCCGCAGTCCACAACGAAGCGTTCAAATCAAAGTCCAAAATTCAGCAGGAGTTCCTGAACACAGATGCCATTTATATCACCGCCTACTCTACCCTTTGCCTCGCATATCGCGGAGAGGATACCTTGCCCTGGGTAACAAACACGACCCGTATCTCAACGTGAGCCCAGAAAAACGGTTTCATTGCAGGAGAGCTATCGTGATGTTGTGCTCAAATCCGGCTGTATAGTGTATGTAAGTGAAAGCTGGCTGAGAAAGGTTTACGATCACGCTCTCAATGCTCCTTTCGGCGAAATAACTGGAGCCCTAGTTGACGTCATCCAAGGTGAGTCGAAATTCTTTTCTGAAACACCGAATATTCTCCAAGTCTGGGTAGGTATGGACAAAACTTTGGTTTCGGGCGGGACTCGAACCGCACCTGGTTATATCAAAAAAAGCACATAGCTAAGTTTTGATATAGGCCGACCGGCTCAGCACTTCGTACATGTGTGTGCTGATAAACTATGGCATAAAGGTCATTAAGAATACGAGTGCGACTGACGAGGCATCCTCCAGACTTTGGAATACGTTCATCTCTTGGTGTGGCATACAGAGTACACAATCTTTGAGCCCTTATTACGTCCTTTCTAGCTCGTTTTTCCATTTAACAGCGCCCAATATGGCATGGTAATTCGTCTGGTGAAGAGGCGAAACGAGCCATCTTTAACCTGTCCGATTGATTTGTATTGATTAATTATCATTATTTATTTTGATGCGTTTGCTTGCTGTTGTTTTTTATGCTCCACTGGCTTCTATTTGTTACACTTAAAGGCACAGTTCGCGATAAAAATGGTTTCTGAGATTTCCCCATAGGATAAATTCAAAGACCCTCCTGATACCATCTGTGCCGATGTCAGGTCGAGAAACATCCTGGATAGGGCAGGCACACAAGGGACCAGAGGTTGTATCATGTGAATGCCACACCCATAGTGGACGAGTTTCAACGGCTTTGTAGAGGCTGCACTATCTCAAGAGACTCCCATGTAAGAAGTTCTAACAACTTACCATGACCTATGGTGACAGTGAAAGGCAGTTCCAGACAATTTCGGCTTGATATAGTCATCTCTTTGCGCAATGGGAGGAGCAAGTTATAACTCGTCCAAATACCTTTACATGCCATTCCCGTCACGGTGATCTCGTACAACCTCAACTTCCACGACTTTTGAATGCCTTGAAGCAGACGGATTTTCTCACTTCCTTCGCCACCGATGTACTCTTCTACATCAAATCTTCTGCTTTTCAACCTGAAGAGGGCGCCCTGAAATTATCGTGTACTGTGCCTGTAACGTATTCATACTTGGGTGCCACAGATTCATCCATGGGTAATTTAAGGAAACCGTTCCTACTCAAAAAGTGCTATCAAAATGGGGTCGAGAGTTGGGAGCCATATCTATCTACCATAATGTATTTAACGTGATGTTAGAGACCTGACTGGAATTCCCTGAATACTACCATTTATCAAGAATCATTTATAGATTTTGATGGTGTCAACCGTCGAGTGCTCACCGACGTCGATCGCCTTCAGAAGATTTCTCAAGGAAGACAACCAACCAAGCCAGTTGAGGGTGAGCGTATTCTAAGGCACTTCACAATTCAAAATGAGTATTTTCATCGATGAGGGTACAGGTGAATGCGACAAAACAGAAAATTTTCACACTCGGAGAAAATTCGGTGTATTGTTTCCAACAGTATATTTACATCATTATACATGGATCGGATGTTTGGCAGGATGATCCGTAAGCGGGTAGGAAGCGGGCGTCTGAATTTTGATACCCCCTAAACCCTCTGGGACAGAGGTGGTGTAGTGGCTAGTGGTCACACTATCACACACGCATGGTCGCTGTTACGAATCCCGGCTCTACACCCAATTAAGCAACATAGCCAAACTCCACGGCGATTCTGAAGTCGGAGTGGAAGTCGAATGCGAGGCACTTCCCTCAGACAGGATTGATTAATGCTCGAAGACTTTATGTCTTATTCTAAAACCTCCTAGTTTGTGTTCTGTAAAGCAATCATCTGAAATCTTAAAAACATGTGTGATGGTTCAGCCTGTCGTTTGTGTATGCTTAACACATCTGAGGACGTTACCAGAAGCGTCATAAGGCATCCAACAAATGCAAGAATCGCCCTCTGCCCATCCTGCTCAGTACCGTCTTAGGGCTACTCGCGAACACCACAGCGATTGTTTCTGCTTGGTTTCTATTTGTGCTTCATTGCGTAGCTGAAGAAGTCGCAGAATTCTTTGGGGTATGAAGGAACAGCTCACGATATTCCTGAAGTACCCTTTTGAAAATGAAAAGCAAAAACGACTTCTTATCACACCCTTCTATGCCCTTTTTTAAATCCAAAATATCACATTTAAGAACCATAGGTTCTCCTTATTGCAAATTTCAAATCCCTTTGGATCCTTTACCGTGAGCTGTGACGGATCACGTGGTAGGGATCTGCGGTTGCATTGACTTGTATGCAGAAATGTGATCACTGTTTGTCTTTTTTTTTTGTAAGCAAAAGAAAGCTACAGACCTTCGCCGCAGAAAAACTTCAAACAGACATCGTCTTTTGTTCCTTTTTATTTTGTTAGTACCAGTTGATGTCAGTAGTTGCAGAGCGTATTGCTGCTCGATGGCTTATAGCGTCTGCTTGGGGTTCTTGTGTACACATCCTATCGACTTTTCTAGGCATAAAAGGTGAGTTGAATCTTATCCTGAAATGATTCCGAACATTTCTCAGTAGCAACCATATACAATGAAGAAACGTTGTCGGGAACTCGTGGCAAACGGTGCACAGTCGAGTATGCTGAGCTCGAATGTGATATCTTGCCAGGGGCAAAACTTCATCATTTGATTTGTAGTAGCTCAGAGACTAGGACAAAAAAAAAGCAGCCATGAGGAAGATCTTCTAATGAAAGCAAGGGGGCATACTTGCGGTGGGTGGAGCGTTCTCCATGGATTCGTGACGCGGTTCCATCAAAGTCTATAAGCCAGAGTTACCCAGGGTAGAGCTTAGGTAAAAATTTTACCCTGCTCAGAGCGCTTTTTTTNTTTTTTTGTAATGATGCATAAGTTTGCGTAGTAATTTGGTGGTTGTATCCATGAGAAGATCAGAAATAAGATTTTCAGAACTAAAGCAAATGTCATGATCACGATCAGTAGATTTGCTACCCTTGGAGCAAATTTCCAGCTGAAAACGTCCTATCAGCAAGAAGGCTTGAACTCTGTCTACTGGACCCCGCAAACTAATAATTGCTTCCCAAAACAAAGGACTTTGTCTATATCCTTTAGTTCTAGATCGCCGTAAAGCCCGCCAGAAGGTTCAAGATGGCATCGAGCATTCCATCAAGGGCATGCAACTGTTGGCAGCTGTGGCTCTCGAACTTGGTGAGTAGACCAATTACTTACTGCCGTTGGAACAGCTGAGAATGCCTTTGTTCTACACTTGCATCTGAATTTAATTCAGAAATGGCTGAGCGCTGTGGCTGGATTTTCGAGAACTTGGTGGAGTCATCCTGTGACGTCGATGAGCTCCGAACTCTGGCAGGCTCCGAAGAACAGGTCGGTTCCGAAAGGGGTGAATCAAGCAGAACTGGATACTGCTGCTTTAATACTCTTCAATCACCTTCATGTTCCTCACCTGATACCTATAGATGATTTGATTGGTCTGTAAAAACAATTTGTGCATCCGTTATTCACTTGACTTTCGCCCTTTACCGTACGCATGGCAACAAGTCGAGCTCCCAAATAGGCAGGCCACGGTTGGGTGAAGTTTCAAATATGCCAACTGAATACGCCAACTGAATCGCTCATTGTGTGATATAGCAGGCTCGCCAGTGAAAAGCCGATGCTGTAGAAACCACAGTATCGGCTTTTCTGCTTGAATTCCGCATCACCTCTTATCATTCTTGTCCTTTGCCATTTTGCCTACCTTTTCTGCTGGCGCTGACTTCGCTCGTGCCTATTATATCATCCTTCCCTCTGAGCCGTGTGGACATTGTCGTATGCCACCTGCACACTCCTCGCGCAACCTGAGCACTTTCCTCCTGGAAACTTTGGTCATTTTAGGTTTTTTTTTCTGTTTTTTTTTTCAACAAGTGCCCGCCTCGATGGCCCCCAATCATTGGCGAAGCGCCTTTTAGGGCCAGTGTTGTACCTATGCCAAGACTGTACCATTTTGTATCGTTTTTTTAGAAGAGAGTCCGAGTTCTGACTCGAGAAGACCTGCTCAGTATGCAGTTGGTGTTGGATCAGGCGTTCGTTTCAATTCATGCTCCGGAATGTTGGAAACACGTAATACGGTGAGACTCCTCCGCACTCAGCACTGGCAGTGGGAATTCGCTCCCTTTCAGATGCAGCGAGTACGTGTGGGAGCTTGAGAAGTTCATCTATGGAGCGCTGTGCTATGAAAAACCATCACGGTTCACTTTTGGCAAAAAGAAAGCCTCGACTCAACCACAGAGAACTGAGGAAGAGGTGAGCTTCCTCGTGTCTATTGTAGGAGGACCTCATTGAACTGGTAACTTGCAGGGGATTGGTGCCGCTGATCGTTCTGTCGACAGCGCCATTGGTAACGGTGAGCTGGACAAGGACAGTCTGAGCAGGGCCCTCTGTATACTTATCGCTAAAGTAGACAGGTAGGAATGCTTCTTCCCTGTGAGTGAGATCAGCTGTTTCCGTCTCACTAAGAGGAACCGCCTCAGGTTTTACTCAAAGGTCGGGCATGAGCTCAATCTCCGATCTCTTTGCGACCTCTGTGTGGCTGTAACGAGCGCTAGCGAAAATCGGATTTTCTATTCAGAAAAGAAGGCACCTTCTCTGACGCCTACCACGAATCTCCTGACAAGGGTTCGTTCAGATTTCATTGGTGCTTAGCAGGCCTGGTTCATGAAACTCCTTTTAGGTTTCTGAGATCTTAGCACCTCTCGGAAATCGGTCATTAGTGCATCAAATGCTGATTTGGCCGATTGTTTGTGGACACTTTGTCAAAGTAAGCATTCAGTCCAGTAAGGTTAATTGAAATGACAAATGAACCTCAATGACTCAAGTTCGAAAAACTCGTCCGAAATTTTAGGTAGCCTCGTCAACGGACGAATCGCGTGTTGGCATCACAGCACTCTCGGAGGCTGTCTCATCACTGCTCCTATCCGAATCCCAAGGACTGTGCTTCAACCAGATGCTCATTGCTCCATATCAGGTTATTTCATGATCTTCAAACAGATCGGGTGGAACTGGTGATAGCTCTGGACTTGATTGTGAAGCTGCTCCGCTAAGATTCGAAAGGCAGTGGCCAGTGTTTGGAATCTTAAGATCGTAGCAAATGTTTACGCAAAAAAAAACAGATTTTCGTTGGTGAATAGCCAAAACAGAGAAGCCTGCATAGTAGGTAAAGCATTGAAAATACTAGGAAAGCGATGCGGGAGATTTATCGATAGTGAAGAGGACCGGAAAATCCATAAGAGACCCAAAACATAAGAACCAATGTAGTCTCTGCTGAGATTGCACGGGATCGATAACGGATTCGGGCGAGATTTCTGTCGTGTAGCGTTAACCATAGGCGTTTGGTGCGCTCTATTCCGAATGATATCGGCCTCTCTCTACAGTCCTTTCTTTCTAGCGGTGCGCTGTCGGAGTCGTTAAAACATAGCACATACTAGAGGATAATTTCAATGTCACGAGCAGAACTTTCAGCGTTTCAGGCGATTGTTTGCTCCGACACTTGCTCTTCAGAGACATCTGAACAAATTGTCGCTGCACTCGCCGACTTGGTGAAGACCAAGTCCGATAGGATTGGATCAGGTGATTCCCTATGAAACAACAATTACTTCTCTATCAAGGTGCTCCTACACAGTGTCATTGACTATCACCTGAGGTCTTAACTCGCCTCACACGTCCCGTTCGTTGGAGGACTTACCAAGAAAGATTAACAAGTTTTTTGGTCACAGTCTGCTTTGAAACGGAGAACAATACATTCAGGGGTAATGCTTGAGAAACCCTGGGTAAGGTAAGATAAAGTCATAGCTCGCGATAATTCTGAGGTATTTAGTTTGGAAGAAATGAAGAAAGGAGCTGTTCAAAAACAGTGGAGAAAGCGAAGGAAGATTCAAGAAAAAGAAAGAAAACTGAGGGCTCAAAAAACTAGTAAGATAGAAGTAGTACGAGATTTTGTATCTGTAACCATCAGGGTGTCTCCCACGTAAGCTTATTGCTCGTCGGCGTCTTAACGCTTTTTGTGAGTGGTTCAGTCTTGACCAGCTTGTCGAATAACACGACTTCCACAGCACGAAATGATCTGGTACTTCACTCCTTCATATTTTCGCGCGTAGAGATTATTGTGTGAAATTGTGGCTTTAATTAGACTTCACGAATTTCCCTTGTACTTCAAATGTGAAGATATACTCCCAGGCTGAGAACTGACTCCTACAGAACTTTGCGAGGTATTGTTTCAGGCTGACCGTCTTGTCTGGTAAATTTAAGACCTCAACATAAAAAAATCTAGACACGGGGTCCTTGAGGAGGTTCACTCTCGCCCTGATTCTTTGCTCGTTCGCAGCATCCTTTTGGGGAGCAGAGATAATGGTGGTTTGTAATATTTGTTTTACTGAGATGATTTCTGGCCTCCAAGATAGGGCAGGATCGAAAGACGGCCGAGATAGGACACAATATGTAAGGGCTTAGAGGGCAGCCTTGGAGGCCAAGAGGAAGTGATCGTGTCTGATGGCTGTGAAGGCTCTACCGTCCATGATGGAATGGGTATGATGAGAATGCGATTCGACATTATTTTCAGCGCTAGAACTCATATAGGTTTAGGAAATTCTGAATTAAATTATGCACTTCTTCAGATTTTTTTCATTTTGTTCCATTCTGTTGTAATTTTTTCAGCCAACTAAGTATGTATGAATAAATCATGGGAATCATAGATATGGTACAGTTCAGGTTGGAAGACGTTATTCGGCACGCTGCGTGCTGTTCGTACTTCAGAAGTCGACGATGCCAGCGTTCACTGGACGGTGCTCGACGTGATAGGAGCTTATCTACGTATCGATAAATAGTTAGTGCTCCTTTCCTTGCTGAACGGTTGGGATACATGCACAAGGATTCTACTCAGATGGCTCTGCCGCTTTTAGCATGAGAGTTATGCTGAGGAACTCGTCCTAATTCGAACCTTCTTTACCTTTTCCTTGCTAATAAAAACATGTGTTTAAGCACTGCGAACTTTGTAACTTGCCATAGCTCAGCTTCTGAGATCATAAAACAGGACACCCCTACGCAATGGGATAACAGAAGGGCAACAAACAGTCTACCAGTCTGCAATTGTTTATCCCAGACATTGCAATGACTGTGTTGTGACTGTCGTGCTGTGGGCCGTATCTAGGCCATTCATACGAAACTCAAAATCAGAATTCTGTCTTTGCAGTTCTGTGCTGTCATGGTCTCTACCAGACTGTATGCCATGCATAACCCACTTCTTGCAAGCTGCTCATTCTTCTCAAGAGCCTGACGACATGGAAGCGGTTGAACAGTCAAAAGGAGTCGATGACCAGCTAAGTGAAGCCGCTCTTCGACTTGTCGTTCCCACCTACACGGTCATCCGAAATATGTTCAAATCACCGCACATCGCGAACCCGAGCCTTCTTCACAGGTAAGGATAGATAAGGGATCTAAAAGGGATCTAAAGGATAGGTTATTAGGCCCTATCTAGCCCGTGTTTCAACCTCATAGCGTCCCTCGGGCGATGGCTGATGTTTGTTTTACGATTTCGCTCAACATATAAAAGTTTTATGTGATTTGATTGGGCGAGGGAATACTTCAAGGGTTTCGAGAGAGGTTCCGTCCGAGCTCGTAAGAAAGTTACAAGGCTCTAGGCAACCGCTTACAGTATCTTTGTGATTGAAATAATAATACTCCTTTCCGTTGGCAGCATCTTCTGGCCTTATTTACTTGAAGGGCGGACCTACGCAGCGGATGCTTCGATCAGGTTGAAAGTCCAGAATCTTCCTCTTCACTGTTGTCGGCTTCTCTCGATCCCACGCAGTTCCCTCTCGAAGATGGCGACCCATCGCCGATACAACTGGATGCGGGTCTTGAGGGTAGGTTCAATCTCATTTTCTGAATTCGGATTGCTTTAAGCATCTACAACTAAAACCATAGGATCCATATTCAGGAGGTGTCCCCCTCTTTTATTGCGAGGCTATCCTGATTCTATCTCTTCCATTTGGAGTGAAGAAGATCGGTTTCAGTGCCTCTTGGCGACCTGCCATGGACAGATCTGTTGCCATCCGAGTTGGCCTCATTGGAGCTGCTTCTTTCGTTCGTCGAACATCTTGCTGGCACTCTCGTCACGGCTCCTGCATGTCTCCAGTCCCCTCTGCTATTCTCTATTCAACAGCTGATCAACACTATCAAGGATGGAGAATTCGGTGAGACCGAACTTCATTCTACTTCGTCGTATAGCTTCAAAATTTTGGTAGTGGATTTGCCTTTGAAGCTCCACAGCTCTAATCTTCTTTCCCAAAAAACCAGGTTCGTAAATTAGTAGCTCAATTTGGGACGATTTAGAGTTTTTTAGGATCCAAAGCATCAGTGCTTTGAAATGCTATAAAGCAGATGACCCAGAGCACAGAACTGCCTGAGGGATAGCAGGGAGCCGTAAAAAAGGAATTTCACAAACAGCAGTCTTTCATCTAGAGTCAGAAAATATTTTTGACGTCTACAAGGGAGCATCACATTCAATAGAATGACCATGCAGCTCGAAAGGGGAGCCCCGTGAAAAACAAGAAGCTCTCCTGGAAAACAAACAGTAATAACAATAATTACAGATTAATAGACTAATTTAACCTCTACACTGGCATAGATAGTTACTGAATAGCGTCAGTTACTATATTCAAGTTGAAAACGTCTAATATGGACCAGGAAAAGTGCTACGGAGTGATTACAACGGTAGTATGTCTCTCACTTTGAACCTTGAAGCTCGAAGTCAGATCAGCATGTCCATGAAAAATTCCAGACTCATGAAGAGTGTGAAAATTGGAGTAATTTGCAGGTTCCAAAACAGCATGTTTCTGTTTGTCGACTCTTCTTCTCCCACATGTTCAAAAATGGCTCCGGCGTAAAGACTCAGAAAAACCTGAGAGCGGTCGTAGCGACACAAACCTTCGGCAGGCTGTTGGAATTTGCACTCAAATCGTCGTGGACATCCTCGCTCACCAACAAAGTACGCTGAATTCATCACAATCACTCCTTTTTTCATAACTCATAACTGACACTGTTCGTTGGGAAGACTTCTGTTCGCGAGCTTGCTTGAATCTAAATTTTTGTTTTTAGCATCGTGGCACAGTCGACTTTTGATGGACATTTGCCGGATAGCAATCGAATGCACATTCCAAGGAGGTGATCTTCCGCGAGTTGGTACGGCATGCCTGAGGCATGTTGCCGCTGTCGCTTCTCATTTCACAAGCGATCAGTGGACGATATTCGCCAAGTCTGTTTGGGATGCAACGTGAGATAATATTGTGAAAATGGTTCTCACCAAGACTTCTTGTAGTCTCAGCAAACTACAGCAACACTATTAGGCAAAAACATAGAGTCAGTGTAACGTAAAGGTCTGGAGGAGAAGAGTTAGGGGAAAAGGCGTAACGAACTACTCGAGCCTTTCGTACCCTGGCGTACTAGCAACCTCCACCTCCTTTTTTCTCATATCTTATGATTCGAATCCTACAATGCGCGTAAAGCTGAGAACTGAGAAGTCAAGGTGATGAGTGCTGAGTGTAGGAGAAATTCGAAAAATCGGGCCCCAAATTTTCAGGTCAGCGACATTAACACCCATCCGTCTTCTGCTATCTCTTTATGTTTGCAACTCTACGGATGAATCAGGCGATCTCGGTACTGTAATGGTGGACGGCACTGAGGGTTTGCCTCTCAAAAAGCAGATGTTGGCACAACAGGTACGAGAGCAAGTTATGGTACATCATGTGTGGTCCTGGTCCTGGTCCTGGTCTTGTCCTGTTGTATTCTCTTGTTGACAGTTTCTTCGATTCAGGTATTCCTTGTCGATTCGCAGCAGGGTAAGAACTCAAACAGCATATCGGGGGAGGAATCCGACGGCGATCTGGAACTCATAATAACCATTGATGGAGAGAAGCAAAGGTACGTCGGTCTGCGGTGTCCTTATCGTGAATCCGCTTGTCCGAGTGAAATATTCCGACATAAGGGACATCGGGACAAATGAATGCCAAAAATGATTCGTGTTGAAAGTCGAGTAGCTGCGATGTTTATAAAAAGTTCCAAGTAGGTAGGGCAGATCTTGTGGGCCCAAAATGAAGTGCAAAAATCATGGTGTTCCTTTTCCGGGTGCTTCGGGCTCGTTCGAAAGACTACTTTCCTTTTTCCATATTTGACGCACGATTAATTACATCGATTTCGACGATGACATTACGATATGTTGATTTAAACGCTTTCTTTGTTGTTTGCGCTAATCGGCATGATCCTTCGTAGGGAAACATGCCGTCCAGCACGATCAAGAAAGTCGTGGGAAAAAAGGTCCTCTTTTAGCAAACACATATCTCGAGCACTGAAAATGGTGTTGCTAGTACAGTACTGATCATGATTGGTTAGTGATGTAGTGAAAAAACAGAGGGACATTTAATTTTCTGCTCCATGCCTTATGTGGCGGAACTGTATATTCCAGCCACAGGGAGTTTATCTCCCTATATGAAGTAGTGGTTCAGTGGTGTGGAATATTTATTAGATAGGTGAATAGAACAGTGATGAGGTGACAATTAGGAGTCCGAGGGCAGCCGCCACTCGTGAGCTCCTTATGATCAGACTACTGCTAAGGCGGATCCCGCCTCAGCTCCGACCACCCCACATCTGGGTGGTCGGACACAAAGAAATGTTTACAACAAAGGGTTCGCGGGGTCGCGATAATGCGCGACACCTTACTCATTTTCCCCAAGTAGGATCTGAGAAAGCTTTAGGGAATTTATTTGCTTCACGAGGTTTTCACAAACACACAAATAATGATCATAATTATTTGTTTTNCATATCTCGAGCACTGAAAATGGTGTTGCTAGTACAGTACTGATCATGATTGGTTAGTGATGTAGTGAAAAAACAGAGGGACATTTAATTTTCTGCTCCATGCCTTACTCATTTTCCCCAACTAGGATCTGAGAAAGCTTTAGGGAATTTATTTGCTTCACGAGGTTTTCACAAACACACAAATAATGATCATAATTATTTGTTTTGATCTTTCTTCACCTGGGTGAAAAAAACCTTAAAAAGTAAGTTCGCACAGGTAAATGAAAGCAAATTGCAGGATGTCTGTCTCATTCTTGATATCAACACTTTTGGCACATCAGTTGATCGTGCAAATGATCGGCTCCATTCTGTGCCCTTGTGAACGACCACCAAAAGGTCTCGAGAAAATCCTGACTTCTGGAGACTCCGCGAGACGTTCATTTCTGGAAATGCCGGACGACGTTCGAATAATGTTCCATCATTCCTTAGATGCTAGCTTTCAGGCACGATTTCTTTTACCCTCTTATTTGTTGCATGTTATGATTTCTTCTCTTCATATAACATGGAGCGTTCAGGTTGCTTTGGATTTCGACTGCCGTCCAAGTCTTGCGGGCATTTTGGGCCGTGCAATAGGCATTTCTGGGCCTAATCTCTATAAACAATTGGTTTCTTCAGCACTCATCAAGATGCACTCTTTCTTTATAAGTTCCATCAACAAGAGGTGACTGTTATTTCCAGGGAAGCGAATATCGCTCTCCATAGTCGGAAAACTGCGACCATGATACCATACTTTATAGTCAAGTAGATCTCCGACGACTGTGCAATTGCCATATCAGGATGGTAGCGTTGCTACGAGCGGCAGAAGTGCGAATCGCTGAAAAGAAAATCGCGGCTGCTGCCAGGGAGCACAAGGAGGAGGTAGTCTCCTGAAATACCCTCCATCACCCACACCACGACCTCAGAGTCAGGATTATTCGCTTTAGAAGTTCGAGTTCATGTTGGTTGAGTCAGATGGAGAGAAGCTCTACAAAATAGTGTCGGAATCGGAGATTAACAACACTATTTCAGGTAAGGTTCCGATTTCATCTACTCTGGTAGAAACGTAGCAGAACTCTAATCTTTCTTATATCCTTTACCTCTTCAGAATACCAAAAGCAACGTCCGATGGGATTACCGAATAGGCCAGTCGGCGAACGACCGAATCCATTTAAAAATGGAATAGTGGAAGAGGAAAAGGAAGATACAGAGGTAAGCTGTCCTGTTCTGCAGCTTAACGAGGAAAATAGTTGTCTTGAAAGTGGCAGCATTTTCAGCCGGATCATGACACGCTCCAACTTCTAGCGTATCGCCAAATATGTCTAGTACCTATCGAGACGATTCTCTCCGCGGAAAATGCCGGTGATCTTCTACCTCAAGTGATGGATTCTGTGAAAAAGCTCATCTTGGCCACGCCGGATATCACAATTCGGCATCTTGCTGTACAGATTATCGAGTTGATTTCTTGTCATTAAATCTAAAATATATTCTATTTGAATAAACTGTCCTTTTCCGTCGAACGTCAATTAGAGATTTCCCCTACCAATCAGTGAATGTCAGAAATCTTTAGATTTGAAAAAAAAAAACCAAACCAAAAAAACCAACCAACCAACCAAAACTTGAACGCTTCACATCTAAGAGAACAGAGTTATGTTCTTTCAAGGCCTAACGCCAATTTTTGTATAGTCCTCACCCCTTTAGGCCGAGTCAGTTCCTGCCACCTGCCATCAGTGTCACCATCGTGGCATCCGTACCACTACGCGTAACGGAACTTCTTCCCGAATTCTCACAGCCTGCGACAGTGGTTCCGCGGCGACTCTCCGTATCCTTCCATGAGGAATTCAAGTCTTTCCCCTCACATGATCGCATGCGGCGAGCGAGACACGCCGTTTGGGGAGAAGATGCCAGACCCGTATCCCTACCACATATGAACACTTTAGGTTCCCAATAACAGGTTGGAGTTGTGAACTCCCGTCGGATACACACACACACATGGACAAACCCTAAATTGCATTCTGTAGTGAGCCTTTCCTGATCCCTTGGTGCTCACTTAAGCAATCTTTACGAAGCTATAAGTCACATACAAATTGCTCCAACACCTGAGCACCTTTAAAGTCACTTCTGTAGTACCCAATCATCATGAAACTTGATTTTACGCTAATGTCGACGAGGCAACAAACAAAATAACAATCGTTTAACGTAAATTGTAACAGAAAAATTAGAGATTCTTGGGAATTATTCCATCCCTTTGCGCCAGTCTCAACAAAGCATCATCGGATTCTCCTTGACGACGAAGAGCACCACAAATGGCATAACGAGTCGACTTTCCAGCAACCTGGAAACCAAAGCATAAAGAGAAAAATATAAGGATAAAGAGCGGTACGAACCATACGTCCTGTGATGGGATCAACATCGACGATATCCAGTTGGATAGAAGAATGATCTTTGGGACCGATCAAGCGGTTTGACGACGAGCTGAACAACTTCTTTGAACTATCCTTTACAAAAGCGTCAAATAACCAAAAAAAAAGGGACTCACCATTTACGGGGAACATACAGCTCCACTGTTTCACCAGCGTCGTTCTGCATGATTACCTAATATTAGGTACAGATAAATAATCTAACGGTGAATAAAAACGTTACATAAGAACTATGAGCACTCAAAAATTGAAAGACCAAAAGTATTTAACGACATAACGAATTGAAGCAAAGCGATCTCTGTATTTAACTTTTATTTACATCAAATGTACAGCTACAAATATACGAAGAACTTCTCAAACACCATCACAATAAATTATGGGAGAAAAAACGCGTAAAAGCGGGAAATCACAATGAATTGGGGCAAACCAGCTGCAAATACTCTGAACTAAGCAAATACGTTAAACGCTAACACCCATCTCATTCCTTTCATTCTCCACCTAACTGTTGTCCTTGTCCCCAGAAATGCCTGCCACCACCTTGAGCACCCCCTGCACGGCGTTGATTCACTCTCTCGGCTCCGAACCCATGGATTCCACCTTCCTCATTAGGGAGGAAATTGTATAAAAATTGTGGTGTTTGCAAGAAAGATGCTCCTCCATGCTGTAATGGATAGTCGAAAGCTAGGAAGTAATAAGTGTGTCCGACGAGAATTCCAAGCAGTTCGTTCATACCACCACCTCGAAGGACAGCATTGAAAGCACATAAAATCCAAGGAAGATACATGGCCTGAAAACAAAATCGCGAGTAGATGTATCAACCGGGAAACTTAGCTGACTGTCCTTTTTCGAAAGGTGAACAAAAATGAAGTTTAAGGCAATTATACAAGAACTTTAAAAAAAGTTGGAAGTGATTGGATGGTCACTCACTTTGAATGTTGTTCCGAACCAGAACGATACAATAGTGTCCTTATTTAATTGACACCACACATACAAAACACTCAGCACCATGGGTTCCAACAAGAAATATACTCCTGCAGCCATACATATTCCCTGAAATAAATAATGTGATCTTGTTACAATTCATTATCGAGTTTGAGCATATGAGAACAGAAGAAGCGGAGTATTATCACACCCATATCTACGACACATTACTGCGCATAGTCGGGCGCGTGGGACAGGTGTTATGCGAATCTTGATGCGCTATTTATTTCTCCACGTGAACTTGAGAAAGGCACTTCATTATTTTCTATAAATAAGTGAAACAACTTGATAGGATTAAAAACTAATCGAATGAAGAACCTCTGAATCAGTAGCGCTGCACGCGTCTTCATCATACGTACCCCTACAGCAAAGTAAAAAAAAAGGAAATATTCCATTACGCCCTTCCATTCCCTACTCTATCTTATTTCGCTTACGCCACCCATTACCAAACCAGCAAAAGTTGTAATACACATCAGAAAAGCACTATAAATATGAATAGAAAAACTTACCGTACATACCAACCAATTGAATATTAACATGTAAAGGTAGTCCGCAGGTCGCCCAGAGAAGACTCCAGTTTCGAGATTTTTTGAGTAGTTGTACAGGAAATAAAGCATCAGAAGCCAGTGGAAACCAGTTTGGGGTGAGACGGGGTAAAACAACAAAGCTGTGATCGGTCGCCAAAACTGAAAAAAGTACGTATCCAATGTGTCGCAAATTCACAATTCACAAAAGGGTGAAGGTCAGCTAATTCCACATTATACAACCTGAACATAAAGGAGCATGAGGTAGGGAAAGAGGTACTTGTCAGCTTGAGTTCTTCATAAAAATGTTCCTCTTGGATGGGATAGGTAATCGAAATAGAAAATCAACTCTTACATTTTATGGGCATGAGTGAGAAAAGCAATCAAATAAACCACAGGTTAGAAAGAATAATTCAAATCATTCATGAACTGCAAAACCAAGGAAAAAAAACAGTTGAGGAAGAAAACTCTGATGATATACTTCCCTTATGAAGTCTGTTCAATTTCATAAGTAATTACTGAATAATAGTCTCCATATCTACCAGAAGAACGCACTGGTTGCTCAGTACTTCGACGGTCGTTTCGACATCGATATAGTTAGGACCTACTGACTTTGACTGATTTCTCAAAACCCCTTTTACTGAATTGCTTTGATAAAGGTTGAACCAATACATAACGGTGATACCTAACAATTAAAAGAAGTGAGAAATGAATGCATCAGTGCTCAGCAAGATCTACTGAATGACGGACAGAAACCACTTTGATAATAACTCCTAAACGAAGCTCGGTTTTATATCCAAGATCTCATCCTGCATTCCGCTACCGTGGTCTGCACATCAAATGTTTAGTTAGACGGATATTATGAGGTACTAATATTGGGGTTGTGACGTTCTGCAACTAACCAAGACATCCATAAACCCCCTTACATCAATTAGAGCGCTCTGGACTATACGCACGCTAAGCTTATAAGGTACTCAGCTTTTACAGCGGCGGATTGTGGTTTGAGAAGGAGCAAATGACTTTTCACACAAAACTGCTACCTACAAAAACAGTATCAGAACAAAAACGGCAAAACACTCACATGAAACCGGTAAACAACGAGATCCCAATCCAAGTACATCCACATCGGGTTGATCAAGCCAAATCTTCCCAGTAAGGGCAAGACGACGGATATGGCAAACCAGTACCTGGTGACAATGGGTACGCTTCTGAACCACGTACCTAAGTCGCTCATCTGAAACACTAAACAGTAAGTGGGAAAGCAACAACTTCTCTTTCGAAGACCCACCACTCTACCTAGTCTAGCTACTCGAAATAGTGACAAATGTTTCAAGATATTCGAATGTTAACTTTACTACTTCGCGATTTCGCTCCCCATATCTTCAGCACTTCAAAAAATTCAATTGGGTAGGGGACGAAAGGATTGAATTCGACTTGGCATGGGAAAGGAGCACAGCTGCTCAGCTTTAGCTCACGACATCGCGCCGCACACGTAGCACACGGCGCTCAGCCTGGCAAGTGATACCAAATTTCCATGTAACAATTAGGAAATATTGAGCGCAAATGACCTTTATCTCAGTTTAATATGTATCGGAAGAAAAAGAGAAATTCTGAAGATTGAAATCGCGAAAAAAACATTGTTAAAAAGCAAAATTCCATACGAGTGAAAGAACCACAAGAAACGAGAGCCGAAACTCTCGGCCAAAAAAAGTCTCTTTCTTGAATCTCATCAGAGTTATGTCTTCACACGCTTACGAGAACAACTATCAACCTTAATCGCAATTGATCAACCAGTGATCGTTGAGAGCCCATCTACCATGACTACCATAGCTGAGCCGATTGGGCTCATTCATACTAGGTGCCGTCCACCGCACCTAGTATGAACGCGCCCCTTCTGGGTGTGCTGCGATTCTATCGAGAGCATAATGACAATAGGACCGCGTGTTGTTTTGTGTCTCAGCCTACGAAGAGGAAGGCTATAGTGAAAGGTTTTAACGTTCCATGAACGTGTGAACAGTAACCCCCCCNCCCCCCCCCCCCCCCCCCAGGATCTTTTCGTTGTGTCGTATATGTGACGGGTGCTTGGAGGCGCTTTAGTCCTCGGGTTGTTGTGTAAAACATCCAAAGAACTTCAAATGCGTCTTATGAAGTGTAAGTGAAGTGTGGAAGGATGACTAAGATGCTTACCTACATCAAAATTTGGAATGGAAGTGGAATTGACAGATAGGATGTCCCGGTGAAATAGCGCAGGCAAGGGTACAAAAACAGATTTTCCCTTACCAATTCCATTCCCACCGGGATTGTATTAAGGAAAAAGGCAACGAAACTGGAAGATGGTGATTTGGCAAGTATAAACGGTAGTTAAATCGCCGTTTTCATCACAAATACATGATAATCTTCCAGAAAAGCTTTACGAAAACCATGTTGACTCACCTTGAAATTGTCCTTAGAATCAAAGTCGACGTCAACAAAACACCTTCCAAGTGTGTAAGGGGAGATCTTAATACGAACAATAAAGTGGGCGGAGTGGTTTCGAAACAGGAAAATTTAGGCCACGCAAGCATAGTGGGAGTTCCATGCGGGACCCATCGAACGCCGAGGGGAAAGTGGTTGCGCCGCAGCTGAGGTGCTGTGTTGTCAGCTGATAGTCGACGTCGACTAGTATTGTATCCGTCCAGGGGGGATCATTCTTAATCGTGTTTTATCTGAATTCAGTCATTTTTCTCGCATGGTAAATTGTTTCTGGTCATCTTTTACTTATTGATGTCAGAATAGTTACAGATTTATGGCACAGGAAGGAGCCGTCTCGGACTCGGTCGAGTTAACGGTGCGTTGCGCCTTTCAGACTTCCAAAGATATCAGGGTCGTCTGCCCTCCGAACTGGACAATACGAACGCTCAAAGAGCACCTTCATCAAGTATGCCCTTCTCATCCTGTAAGTTCTAGCGTTCTTTTTCAATTTGCTGGAAAAACATTGGGAAAATAGCTGGGTTGTGAGGCTATTGTCTTAGTAATTGCCTCAGAAATGATGTCTCTAACATGGCCAATTCAATTAATTGAGTTGATGGGGCATTGGGTAGGTATCAATGACACTAAAGGTATCGTGGAAATGGGCTTTCTTCATTGCGTTATCAGTACCCTCTTAACCGCTGCCTATACGCATAACAATAACTGTCGTTAATGGCCATCTCAGAGAACCAGCCTGGCTCTTGAGAGACTCCCTTTATGGTGGGAACATCGATTAAATAGGCATACAACGAAGATAAAATGGACTTTTCAATACCCTTGAGTAGTTATTGTCTGTGTGAGTTACCTTCTGTTTTATGTATCTCAAATTGTTCCTATTTGCCATTAGGTTATGCTTTGAGCGATGCTCTTGTTCCTTACAAATTACTTGTTGTTAAACACACATTGACCCACACTTAATCAGACGCTTTTTTGGTCATTTTGTCTAAAAGTAGCTGTGGTAAGCGAGTGAAAAAGTAGAAGTGCGATGCAGTGATTGAGTGTGATTCTGGCCGATACAATTGACCATCTCCCCTCTTTCGTTGATATGCTCAATGATTTCCCCTTGTGCTCCCCCAATATCAGCGCTATCTGCGAAGGATGTTTAGTGTGCCAGGCTAATTCACTCTCATGCCAGCCAGAGCGATCGATATCAGTGTAGCTTTATGTCACGTTAATGAAATGTATTTTCTGCCGTTTTTTAGGCGGTAACATCACAGCGGCTTATTTTCTCTGGGGCTTGTCTCACCGATGATATGGTTATCAAGGAAATTATGGATCAGCGGTGCGTTCTTTCGTATTGTTCTCTTATCATTTGGGACACTGTAGGAGTTTATTTTACCAGTTTCTTTCAATGAAGCATCAGGCATTTTTCCAGAAAAGTGGTTGATGGGCCGCAAGTGCTTCACCTGGTTTGTCCCCTGCCGCAGTCCAGTCCGCCTGAGTTGCGACAGCGTCAGACTTCGAGCATGACTGGTCATTCGTAAGTTTTTGTTGCATCGTAATTTTTTTTNNTTTTTTTTGACTATTTAGCACCAGTGAAGCTCTGATTTTCTTTCAACTAGAGTTTCCTATAGATGCGGATATTCTGCGGGCTGCTGCCATTCCTTGAGAACCTTGTTCTGCGTTCTTATCCCAGTCGAACATATCCCTCACTAACCTCTGTAGTTGCTGTATATCAAAATAGAGTTGTGTCGTCATCACTTATCAATCGCGCCGTAAATCGATACTAATAACTATCTATACATGGGAATTACCGTGAGGAATTCGACACCAATGTTATGGTTTGTGCTGTATAAGCTCGTTCCAGACAACATTCCTTTTAAGCTTCCTCTTTATGATATTACATCATCGTGCGGTGGGCTTTCAATACCACTGCCTTTATGATAATGAGAGAGTGGAGTGTTTTGTAGAGGGACAGACATGTAGACAGTTCGGCAGATCGGCAAACAAACCAGCAAACCAATTCACTTCTTTAAATTTGTGAATGATATTCAATGGTTGTGTTCCCCATCAAAATTGATGAATTTCCTCGTGTTACTGTGAATGGAGTGCATTTTTCAAACTGGCAATGTATGTGTGCTGGCTGAATTTTCAAAACTCTCAATCTCAAAAATGGCTTTACTTCAACGGCAGCAAAAAAAGCGTTTCCATGAATGTGGCATAAGAGCTTCCCTAATTTGGTTATACACAAGTTAGCCGTAGACATCGGGCGACTTATATTTGCCACTGACCCGGCACTACTCGGAAATAAACAAAAAGGTATCGACCGTTGTTTATTTCCGAGCAGTTTATGAGAGCTGTTGAAATGTCTGATCAAGCTTTAGCCTCTTTCTGAGCGACCTTCGTAAAGGGCTGAGGCAGTGTTGTGGCCGTGGTGTGGGCATGTTTTTGGGCATGAGCGCTTGTAACTTGGTGAGTGTCACTGAGAGAGAAGAAAGGAGGTAACGTTGGCCTCCGTTGTAAACCATCAATTAGATTACTGTGTTGCGTCGGTCACTCCCGCTGTACGCTCTCATGCACTTTACTGATACTCTTACGTTACGGCTTCTTCAAGTATTGCTCTTTCAACAATTAAGCTTGCTCCTGTGAAAAGCTTCATGTGCGTGGTGATCTATAAATGAAACAACGATAATTTTTTTCAGAAACTCCGCAAACGCATCAACTACCGCACCTCAGGCTCCTTCAGATCCAACTCCAGCCTGGGCAACAAACTATTACGAGTGGTACCAACGTTATTATGGATCAGTCGGCCCTAGTCCGGAACATGTGGCACGATTGCAGCAATACTCCGGTTACTATGCTGCCTACATGAGCCAGTGCGTTTCAATCGTGTTTTGTTTATGTTCAACCGTCAATCCTGTGTTTTTAGATGGCAAGGTTATCAGAATTTCATGATGGGCAACATGGGATATGGCGCACTCCTAGCTCAAGGAATGGGATCTAGTGAGCCTTCTATGAATGCCATGCACATACCTGTTGCACAAGTTGTTAATCATGGTGGTCCAGCTAATGCTGCAGCTCCGCCTCAGGATGATGTTAATGTTGCTGCTGCAGCAGAACAGGTAATGCCAGGCTACTGCTGTACCATTTTTTTCATGTTTGGAACCTGGTAACTTAGAGTTACAAGTTTTTTTTTTNTTTTTTTTTCAAATTAAAGCCTTGTAAACCTGAAACAAGATTTGTTAAATATTTAGAAAAGATTACAACTCGAACAGAAGGTTATGCAAGATTGTTTTCTTTGTGCCACCAACGTCGCAAATATGCTGCATACAAGGCATTATTGTACCTGTTTACACTTTTCGGCTCAGTATTCTCAAATTGGGATCATTTGAAAGCGAAAAAAGGAAAGGCCTGATGCTTTGTGATTGGAAGCCTATACAGAGCTAGCTAACCGCTAATGAAAAGATTAGTTCCAAAATTACGCATCGATTGCTGGTGTCTATTCCCCCCATAAGCACTTCGAAGTAGCCTTTTAAACAGCAAGGGGTACACTTCTGAAGGGATTGAATTCTTCTGTGAGTATAGCAAGCGGTCCCTTACGGATCTACGCAAGGGATGCCATTAAGCTCAGAAACTTTGCTCAAAAAACACACTTATGACCTTAAGTCTGCAACGCCTCATAGCTGTATTGGTACAGAGAAGAAACGATAGTTAATCTGGGAGAGGTTCTGTATGGGTATGAGAAATATGAGGTTTGGCATTTGAAGAGAATAGCTAAATCGAAATAGTTCAAGCTGAATAGAGTCCAAAAAGGTCGTAACCATTGCACCGGTTTACTGTGCTGTGCTTTGACTGTCGTCAGATAGTCTTCATTTACATTCTGCTTCAGTTCAAATATTTCAGGTTCCGGCTGAACCGAATGGAATTGCAGTTCAAGGAGGCGGACGAGATGTTTTGGATATGGTCTATCGGGTTTTCAGAGTACTTCTATTCTTATCGGTATGTTCTGCCATTCTTTTTAGTTGCATAAGAGATTTNAACGTTTTCAAACTTACTGAATAGAGAGTTTATAAAAGGTGACGTCGAGTTTCATTGCAGGCAGTACTGCTTTATTCTTCTCTTGAACGCTTTCTTGCCGTTATAACGATCGCCCTATTTATTTTCTTCATTCAACTGAGGAGAAATCAGCAAAGACAAGCTCGTGTGGCTCAACCAGCTGCACCGAATGTTAATAACAATAACACAGGCGAACAACCACATGATGCAGTTGAAAACGTAAGTTATCTTGAAGTGGTGAATTCAATGACATGAGGTAATTGCGTTTTCATTCCAGGCTCAACCAATTTATGTAGCACCTACACCGCCCAGTACACTTCAAATATTCTTCGCTACTTGCTACTCATTCGTCACGTCATTCTTCACGTCGCTCGTCCCTGACCACCCTGTTCCTGTCGATTTGAATTAGAATTGTTCTAGTCAAACAAGGTAAAACTGGTGTCATTTCAACCCAATTTTCTGTGTTATTAGGGTTTTGCGTCAAAATGAAAAGTGTGAAGATAACTTGTCAAATCCTCTAGTTTAGTAGAACTGTGGAGGATGCGCTGGGGCGTATTGACTTTGTGACTTTTCAGTCAACAAGGGAAAATCCCGTGAGTTGAGTTTCGCTCAACATATGCCTATGGTTTTTTGTAAAATATTCATTTGTATTTACTCGTTCGAAGCCATTTTCTTTTTATCACTTCAGCGCATGCTTAGTTTTCGCCATTTCTATCACTCTTTATTTATTATGATTGAAATCACCATTCTTGAGAGCAAGAATTCTCTTTGATTCTGTGAACGATTTAGCCCAAGCCAGTCATTGATCTTTAAGTTGAGAAGACTACGGTCACAACGCGGTTCTTTGCAACGCGATATGATATCATGTTGCACTGGTTCAGATTGATGCCTTATTAGAAACAACCTTCAGAGACGTAGATTTTTAATCAGATCGCTGTATCGCTAGTTCTTTCCGTTGTGTATTGTAATCAAGCGACTATTCAGTCATTAATTGTCATGAAATAAAATATCATATTGTTGGTGATTTTCTTCTTTTGGAAATGACTGATCGGCAAGCAACGATATCCGAGGTTGAGGTGTTAGAGCTCAGATCTCTACACATTTGTGAATGTAGAGAATTGGAAATGTAAATTTTAAGGCTTAGTCCTTGGTGGCAACAACGGAAATTTTATTATTGTAAGTAGTTGTTATCACAAAGGCAGCCCGGTCTCGGCTGTGATCTACTTCCACGATCAAACATCTGACGGACTATCCCAGTAGCCAGGTTGGCCCATCATCGTCGTCGATCCTTCCTTAGTTGCCGTTTGTAACAATGCTGGTTTCTCTTCTCAACAAATCCGATGACGTGGTATTTGTTTTCCTAGCTTGCAACAATTCACTTTCAATATATGGTCACTTCAAGCATGCAGACGATTTCTTTTAATTTTCGGAGGTCCACTATCGCAACTGAACCTTCGCAATCTCATTCGAATGGTCTCACTGCTGAGCACGTTTTTTCTATGCAGCTTACTAATCCTTTGCTGTGACTGTTGCACAATAACCGTAAAACTGAAAAAGTGAATTTTAGCATTGTCTTTACAGAATTAGTTTGAAGATATCACCCGAAGGGAGCTCACCTAATCAACAGCCTTTAGTTATCTCGAACCCTCGGGGTGAAAATATCACCTACTCAAGAAAAGGACTAAATATGAGCATTTCAACTGACCACTTCCTTCTTGAGACACGCAATGAGGGTCCTGGGGCCGGCAAAGCCTAATGCCATGCGAAAACTGATAAGCAAGCGTGATAAGGATTTCAAAGAAGTAGAAGGCTCATGAAGATATGGAACCTCAACAAAGATATGATTCTCGTAGCCGAGAAATTTTCAGCATATTTCTTTGCCATGGCGGAAGCACGCTGAGACAATATTTCTTTTCGCAGGTGTAATGGAAACCTACGAAAAAATAATCTAGAATTAATAGACATAGGCAAAGGGTAACCAGAGAAGATGACAACAAAGTGTAAAACGACGTTTATTAGAATTTATCACATTATCGTCCAGCCATCAAAATCTGTCCTAAAAGAAGAGCACGAATATTTTATCAAAATGTCGAACTGTCAGGCCATGATCGATACCTCATTCAATAATTTCTCCGAGAAGCTTCTTTTTGTACTCTTCTAGCCTTCGAATGTGCTTATCGTTCCCATTCAGCAATGTGTTAATTCCATCAATGAGACTTTTCCGTTTCTCACGGTTTCGTGTAGCCTGCAAAATGGAAATCATCCAGAGCCAGAGCTCACTAACAAATGAATGAGCATATTAGAGGATTCCAGTCAGACAGATAAGGATAAAAAAGAGAAGACTGACAACAATCCGAGGAGTCCTGCGTTCCAGCTGATAGGTGACTGATTATCTTTCGAAAAGTGTTTTTTATATTCGAAAATCTATTTCTTTCAAACGAAACATTATTCAGTTATATGTATATCGAGTTTGTATTGTATCAAGTATAGTATATGCATTGCCAAAACGGTGGCAATAACTTTATTCCATGTATCTAGAAGCTAATGGACTACTTAAAAAAACTCTTACACTTCCATTTTGAGATGATCCAAAATGTATGTTTTGTTGTTTTATATTACTTCAGATGATACTGAAATTTGCGACGACAAACAGACAAACAAACAGACACACCAAGGATGTGGTTTATATATAGTAAGGATTCCGAAGGGACCAAAACAAACGTTAGTCTTTGAACTTGTCAAGCTCCAAAAGTTCCAAAATTTTTCCATCGTATGATTTGTCGATATGAGCTTAACGCGGTTGGGTATAAAATATACGCTGCTCTTAAGTTCGCCTGCCACACGACCCAATAGTAGCCGCACAACATCCCCACACTACACTGAGGGTGCAGAATTTCTCCACCTTCCTGGCATGCAACATCATGGTTTCCTTTGTTCACCACAGCAAAGCCTTGCCACTCCTGGTTGTATTTTGCGTAAAACACTCATTTCTTACCTGTGGCAACCAAAGTTTTCAGCCAGTCGATGTCCCGTTTGTAATTTATCAAACTCAAGCTTGCCGAAACACTCGTTCAGTCGGAGTTCACACATGGTTCAAGTTTCTTTGTTTATGGGGGAACTAACAAAACCGAATGAGTCTTGATTTACTAAGGAGCCTTTTGTTTGCTCTATTTATACATTTTGAAAGGGCAGATTCAGATGGTTCCACAAAATTTCAACAAAATCTTGAAAAACTGTTCTCGGAAGTCAAAGATCTAGTAAAATAGTTGGAATTCATGTTTCAATGATCAAGTACAAAATCATTGAGCAAAAGTCGCTCCAATGCATTACTTTACTAGATGTTCATTCAGCCTTGAAAGAGAAGAGAAGAGAAGAGAAGAGAAGAGTCAAAACGTGTTGCCTTGCAGGACTGGAATAGGCTTTCATGAAGGGAATATGACTCCAGCTAGGGCTTTCATTTATCATTTTTCGAGGTATCTGGATAAGAATGAAATCTGAGTTAATGTATGTGAAGGACCGGTTCGAATCAGAAAAACGCTCTGAGCGAGCCCTTACTTAACACGTATGGATGCCTTTCAAGACGTAAAGCACCATGAAAAACAGACATTTAGCCTGAGCTTGAGCATTGTGAGCTTTAGTTTGGTAACTTTCTTACAACACATTGTAGTACCTGAGTTTCGCTTGTATCATCCTTGATGATACTCAAACCATCCAATGCTTCGAGATGTTTCATAGAAGTCTCCGTGAAGTGTGCCAGTCTCTTCTCCATTCTCTTGACCATTTCCAATGATTTCTGCACTTAAACAGAGTGGAAGCGTGATAGTATAGCATTAACTACTAGGATACAAACACATTATTACACTACGTTCTCTTCATGAAATCATAACAAAAACTGTATTACCATCAAGAAAATTCAGCTCCATTGCACTAAGATCAGTTTCTATTTGCTCATGCTGCTTCTGAAGCCCCAATAAATTCGCCTTCTCGTAAGCCACGAGGGCAGAAAAACCGGGGTCGTCCTGAAGAAACTCATTTATCGACTGCAACCCAAGGAAGGTAGAAAATTTTACCGAGAAGCATCAGAAACTACCATTTCATGGCCAACTGAGCCTCGGAATGATAATTCACTTCAGGCATACTTCTTTTTGCATTTTTATGACTGCTCGAATATAAAATTCAAATATGGTACAGGACTTTCAAGACCACTTCTTTTCATACAAACGTCAGCANAAAAAAAAGCAGATTTTTTTTGTATAATTGATGAAGATGAAATATTGGTTCAAATACATCCGTGCGGGAAAGCAGGAGCTACCAACGACTTTTAAACATAAACATGAAAAATACTACAAAAAAAGATTAAATGACAAGAGAAACAATCACTTCGAAATGGTGGAAAGGGAGTATTACATGGCGGATAATAGAGAAGGCAGGGATGAAGCGCAAACGAAGTGAGAACTCTGAATCACTGTATTCTAACTGTTACGACTATACAACTACATGCACCATAGAGTGCGCGCTTAAGGAGGTGTCCCCACGGATCTCATTCACTGTCTCATTGGAAAATCTGTAGCCGGTTGGTGACGAGGCTACGTTGCGCGACCTGTGGGGGCAGCGGGGCGAATAAATCGCGACACAAAAGCCACCGTACTTTAGCACCCGCCTTCAATACTTGGTCAAAGCTCGGGTGGTTCAGGGGATAGGTTCCCTTTTTCTGCTGTGCAGGGTCGATTTATATCTTCCATCTCCTCGCATGTTTACCCATGCAAGCGTGTATGGAGAGCAGCGGGTGCGTTCGGTATCTTGCACATGGGCTCAGCCAGGTGCATGCAATCGAGTGACGGCGAAGAATTTCGGGAAGCGATTTGTAGCTCAGTACAATAAGTAAGCCTTTTCTCCACACTGAACTAACTAGTCTAGCCCAAGCTCTTCGTGGGTACCTGGGGCTCATTCAGGTTCAAGATTATGATTATGATTTATTATCGGAAATCAAAGAAAATAACAAAAAGGCAAAAAAAGGAACACAAACGAGTCTCCGATAAGCAGTAATCTTAACTAATGGGGAACAGCAAAGGGATCTGCGTGAAGAGGGATTGGAATTCGGCTCGGAAG